ACAAATAACAAATAATGACAAAGAAATGTAACAAAATAAGGGTTTCCAATAAAAAACAAATCTTCTTCTTTCTTGCCACGTCTTCAAACACCCCCCCCCCCCCTCTCCCACCTAGTCGACTCTGCATTAGAAGGAAACGGGGAGACATGCGAGACGACGCTGACGCCGACCCTACCTCCTACACCACCCGGAACATTCCAGGCCAGGAGCAGTCGTGGAGATCGGGCGGCAGCCGAGAAGAGACCCGTATACTCATGGAGCTGGAGGTGTTCCGGTCCGTGCCAGACGAGCAAGATGGCGCCGGCGCCGGGGAGAGCCAGCCTCTAAACCGAGGCTCCGGAAGTGAGCGCACTGACGACAACAATGGCGTCACGTCCGTTGAGCACGACGGCTATGCAGAAGGTCACGGCGGGGTAGATGACCTTGAACGATGGAATCGTCAGAGGAGAAGGGTGACCTTCGAGGAAAGTAGTGTCAACAGCGATGGATCGTGGCGTGAGGGTTTGGGTTCCAGTCCTCGTCTATCGGTTCGGGACGGTGAGATGTGTCCCGTTCATACGTCTGCTTCAGCTGCATTGGAACAAGAACAGGAGGAAGTCACAAGAAGCACCCAAGAAGAACAACCTGCTTCATCGAGGAGTGGTATCTTTACGCCATTTTCGAACAGAAATAGGTTGTTATCAGTACATGGACAACAACAACAACAACAACAACAACAACAACAACAACAACAACAGCAGCAGCAGCAGCAGCAGCAGCAGCAACAACAACAACAACCGTCTTCTTCAAGACAAGACAACATCCTCACCAACAACTCACCATCTTTCCTCCGCCAAACGTCTTCGCCCCACCCCCAATCCCCGCCCCACCCACAATCCTCCCACCATAGACTGTTCCGGTTCAGCCTCAACCGCCCACCAATATTCCGGCCGTCCCACTACGACAACGAGCGTCGGAACCTCGCTATGCACTACTCACCCTTCGTCCACACCAGCTTCCACTTCCGCTCTCACTCACTGCCGCGCGCACGTTCCTCCAGTCAGCCACTGCGTGAGGAGCACGTCACGTCTCTTGACCAATCAGACACGACGAGCCTGGAAACACCACCCCCTCCATACACCTATAGCGAGACCCCGCCCCCAGCATACAGCTCTTTGTTTCCGGATCGTGTATAAGTTTTATACAATCAAACCTGACTTACTGGAAACCTGCTCAAGACGGAAACCTGTCATAAAGGAATTTCCCTGCTCCCCCTTGATAAATTAATTCCTCTATAATGATTAATTACCTTTATAAAAAGGAAACCCGCTCAACTCAAAAACAGAAACAGACTCCTTCCTTTCGGGAGTAAGTGTTTTACGGCGTTCGCAACTGCGTAAGGTCATATGAGCGAGCGGGAGACACCAAACATTTTCAATGGGTAGGGAATTTTGAATTTTGACCCGGTGGCGGCCGAAGCTTACTCTAATCGATTTTTGAGGGATCTTTAACGTGCGCAACTTGCACACGGGACCTTTGAGATTTTTCGTCCTTGTCCGAGAAGGCTTCGTTTAGATCTTTCCTACAAAATCAGGGATGTAGCTGAAAGACAGCAGTAAAAAGGAGTCAAGGAGTAGCTGTAGAAAGGCTGCAGAAAGAGTCATGAGCCCAGTGGAGGAGTTAACAGAGGTGAGGGGGTGGGGGAAGACAGTGGAGACGAAAGCAGACGACAGAATATTGCAAGAGAGAAGAAAAGAAGGTGAAAGGAGATATATTTTAGAGAAGAAAAAAATTTCGGTCGCTACCTGGGTTCGAACACGTAACCTTTGAATGAGAGGCACCTTAACCTCTAGGCCACGAGAGCCCCCTTCGGGGGGCTTTGGCCTGTCCAAGACGGAAATATCTTGTAGATGGAATATTCTGTCCCCGTCCTTTTAAGCAAGAACAATTTTGAAATTATGCAAACTGAGCCCAAAATGGGAAATTATGCGATTCTGTTAATTTTAACAAAGAATGATAAAGGAAAATAATAAGAAATTAGGCAAAAAATGATCAAATTTTGCGAAATTATGCGAGGTGCATAAAACCACGGGGACAGAATATTCTCTGGCTCCCTTTCGATCATGTCTTGGACAAGTAGATTTACAGCTGTGCAGTGTAAGTAACCATAACTTAGGCCTATATATCAGCGTCGGTGGCCAAGTGGTTAGGCTGTTGGGCTTGCAACCGGAATGTCGAGTGTTCGAAACTCATCAGGGGCCTGACGTTGTGTCCTTGGCTTGGGAAAGGCACTTTACTCGAATTTTTCCTCACTTCACCCTGGTGGGAATGAGAACCCGGCTGTAGACTGTAGAAAGGGAAATTATTATTTTGTCAGTTTTTAAGTGTTTGAGCTCTCAATCGGCTGCTTGCACCGTATGCTACCCGTGAAGCCGAAAGTACTTCTGCTGAGTGTTCTTGGGTCTGCTAGGGTAATGATAATATTATAGATAGCAAAACGCACAGTTTGCTGTTGAGCGGGGATATGTGCTATACAAATGCTATTTAAATTATTATTTATTACGTATTTCATAATTCATAATTTGTAACGTACCATAAATATACTCCAACGGCTTCATTCAATACAAAACCATTTTTTACAGGAGAGAGGGTTAAAAAAATACCAAACCCCCCCCAAAAAAAAAAAAAAAAAAAAAAAGCTAAAAACCATTCGTGTTCTTTGATTGACTGAACTGTGTGTAAAAGTGTAGATTGTCTTGTTTTGTTTTTCTTGTGTATTATTTTTTTCATGTTTTACACCCTCCATTAATACAATACATTTTTTAATTTTCTTTTAAAATGTTCACTGTAGGTGGGTTTTTTTCGGCCACATCGACACAATTTAAACAATTTAGGAGGTGGGGACTTTTGACTCAGCATGACGTCAGGACCAAACTGGGCTGAGACTGAGAGGGATATAACATTGTATACCCCCCGAGGCGGTGCTACTGACCGGAGTGTCTTAAGGCTATTCCCAAAGGGGGGACATTAATATGTTCTTATGCACAGTAGAATTGTAAATTGTAGATGGGTTGATTCATCAATGCCATGTTCATTACTGTGCCTGAACTGCAGCAGAGAACTGCTGCTTTTTCTTTCCTAATCCTGACTATCGTCATTTTTTCTCTACTTCTTTTTATGTTTGTCACACTCTTGTGAGTCGTTATTTCCGGGGTGCCTTGATAGTCAAAGCAGACTTTGTGCTCTTGAAGCTAGAGAGGTGAGCAGAGTAAGCCTGATTCCCTGTATGGACTTCTCTGTTGACATCCACCAACTGCATAAGGTCATATGAGCGCCAGAAGATTGGAGGAGTTACAAGAGAGTAACAAACATAAAAAAGGAGGGGAGATAAGGACAATAGATGTTTAACACGAAACAAAGAGCAAACCACACCAAAGCACCGGCCAACCACCCACTAGATCTTTCCTACCAGAAGATCAGGGCTGTCGCTGAAAGACAGAAGAAAGAGGGAGCCAAGGAGTAGCAGTAGAAAGGCTGCAGAAAGAGTCAGGAGCCCAGATAAGGGGGCAAAGGAGGTGAGACGACAGCATTGCTAGAGAGCAGGAAAGGAGGTGAAAGGAGACAATTTTAGAGAAGAAAATTTTTACGTCGCTACCCTCGACCTTTGAATAAGAGGCCAACACCTTAACCTCTAGGCCATGAGAGCCCCCATATATACAAATTCTCCCCAATGGTGAATCAAACTTAAGTCTCCTGCATGTGTCAGCAAAGAGCCTACTCGCTACACCACAGACGTCTGTTATCTGTGCGTGTGTGACTCTAACACATACTTGATGTAATACACACAAGATCTCAGAGAGACACAAGAAGAAAATTCATTGTTTGTGATAAGTATCAACTTTATTGGAATCATAAACTCTTACTGAACGGGTATCATCAGCACTAAGAACCATTCGACCAAGACAAACATTGCAATAACATTACAAAGGTAAATATCTAACACACTGCAGATATTTACAAACAGTTTTTCTGCATCTTGCACACATAACATAGCCTAACGCTAAGTACATGACATAAAAAAAACCCAGCTTTGTTCTTGGTCAGTTGAGACAATATCTTCAGCAACCGGTCCCATTCGAAACGATACAAGTTACCTTATAAAACATACTCTCAGCATTAGTTTTTGTACAAAAATCAAACATTTTCCCAATACTGACTTTCACAATCTTCAAAATCAAATACTGATCATACCTGTGCTTATTTATCTCACACAGAAGGTGTGACACACAACAGGTTTGGCAGCAGTAATCCTCATGATGTGAACAACAGGGGTGACATCACGAGACACAACAGGAGTGACATCACAAGACACAACAGGAGTGACATCACGAGACACAACAGGAGTGACACCACAAGACACAACAGGAGTGACATCACAAGACATAACAGGGGTGACATCACAAGACACAACAGGGGTGACATCACAAGACACAACAGGAGTCAACAGGAGTGACATCACAAGACACAACAGGAGTCAATAGGAGTGACATCACAAGACACAACAGGGGTGACATCACAAGACACAGCAGGAGTCAACAGGAGTGACATCACAAGACACAACAGGGGTGACATCACAAAACACAACACCAACAGTCAAGTCTGATGTTAGTATTGTTAGCCGTGCTGGAACTGGGAACGTTCATCATACTCAAACCGTTTTAGTTTTAGTAAGACTTTTACAGCACTTGCAACACAATAAGGTCATGTAAGTGCCGAAGATTAGAAGTGTTACAAGAGAGTAACAAACACAAAAAAGAAGGAGGGGAGATAAAGACGATAGATGTTTGATAGGAAAGAAGAAGCAAACCACACCAGAGCACCCGCCAACCACAACAGTTATTATAACAGAATGACCTCAGAATAATACAAACAAATGTTGAAAACACACACACGTACAGACAAAATAGTACTTGATCTTTAAGATGGCACATTTTTTCCTCACTTATATTATTTCCTCCCCCTCTCTCTCTCCCTCACACTCACACAACATCTATTATATACAATCATGATCCTGCTAATTACAGACTCGCACACACAAAAATGCAAGCTCTACTTCCATGCCAAACAAAGAATACCTACATTATTTACAAAAGAACTAAGCCCTATCATTTTTTGCCCCGCCCCTTGCCCTTTGCTTGACCTCCTTTCCCTTTGCTGGCTGCCGCTGGTTTCTTCGCCTGCTGGAAAAGAGTGAAGAGGACACAAAATGAGTTGGACAATGAGTCGCAAACAGCAGTCTACAGAGAAACATACATAGTTAGACCTGCATGTGAGCCTCAACCAGATTGTCTGAAAATTTTGCGCACCCCCCCATATAAGAGCTTTTGTCAATTTTGTGGGTGTCATAAGGAATGACTTCCGAGTAACAAGCAACAACCCCAACAAACACAATAAAGAAGAGACCTAACTCTAACCTAACCCTACCCCTAGGCCTACCCCAAAAAAGAACCTGCAACAGGCCTTCATGTAAAAAGGCCAGCACAAGTCCAAAATAAATTTAAAAAATTAAAAATTAAAAACCACACTCCAAAACAAACAAGGAGCATAATATGGCATAAATATAATTATATGGCCTACATCTTCATTGCTATAATAGGGTTTGATACAATAACACAATAGAATCCTCCATCTAGAAATCTAAATATATCTAGTCTAGATCTAGATCTTGTAGAACAAGTGAATAGGAATAGGCTTTGAACTAGAAATCCGCACCCGATTCCGAAAAGAGGGACACAGCCGAGTCTAGAATCTAAATATAAATAAATAATTCACGCACCTGATAAAATGCTTTTTACCAACATTAATATTACAGCACAACTTATGATAGGGTTTGACACAATAGAATTATTAATTGGAATATGAATCCTCCATTGAGGTCTATAATGGTCTAATCTAGATCTAGATTCTATTAGAACAAGTGAGTCGGACTTGAATGAATCCACATGATCTGAGCAATTGAATTAGGCTAGTCAACAAAAGAAATTCAAAATGGCCGCTCGAGCACAAAACTGAAAGTAGATAACTTAGGTCGTCGTCCTTTTTCGTATTCTTATTTCGACTCAGGTTCCGACAATTATGTCGGAAATGCCGACGTCGGCACGAAAACGAAAGTGCCGACAAAGCCGATGGGAGAAAAAGGGGGGCGCTGGCAGTCGGCAAGGCCTCGCACTACGCACATTGACTGATACAGGTGGGCCTAGAGATAGCATCGGCCGGCGCGCGGGTCGGGTCGCGATTGTCGGATTTCAGACGATTGTCGGCAAACATGAAGGTCTACATAGTGTTTGATTGTACTAGACCTACCAAAAGCTGGAAAGAGTGAAGAGACAAAATGTACATCAACAAACACGAGTTGGAGAACGAGTACTACAAACAGCAGTCTATACTACAGAGAAACACACAAAATGTTTAGCTGTACCAGACCTGCCAACTGCTACATGACCAAAAACGAAAGTTTTACTCAAAATCCTCCAGGATTTGGGAAGAAAAATCGAAGTCATCCTTTTAGTTTTAGTAAGAGTTTTACAGCACTTGCAACACAATAAGGTCATATCATTACCGAAGATTAGAGATGTCACAAGAGAGTAACAAACACAAAAAAAGAAGGATAGATCAGGACGATAGATGTTTGATAGGAAAGAAGGAGCAAACCACACCAGAGCAACCGCCAACCACCTACTCGAAGTCCTCAAAACCCCCAGTAAATTAATAACATTAGGTCATGAACCAACCGTGGCAAATACATCCATTAAAATATAAATAAAAACATGTACGTTCCAGGTCATTCACAATAAGTTGCAAAAATACAGCAAATAAAATTATGTTTTAGTAAGTGTTTTACGGAACTTGCAACACAATAAAGTCATATAAGTGCCGACGACAAGAGGTGTTACAAGAAAGTAACAAACACAAAAAAGGAGGAGGGGACTCAGGGGAGATAGAGAAGATAGGATTTTTACAGGAAAGAAGGAGCAAACCACACCAGAGCACCCGCCAACCACCCACAAATAAAATTATGTGCATTGTCATTTGCAATAAGTCACAAATGACCTGACGGAAACAAATTCCCCCCCCCCCCCCCCCCCCCCCAAAAAAAAAAAAAAAATCAGATTTTGTACAAATCTGATCAGGTTCCTCTGACGAGAAAAACAATCTTGAGAGTGCTATTTTTTCGGAGTGCCTAGCAGATCTGTTGCATGGATCAGAAACGAGGAAACTAACACAGCAGACAGTAAACAATGGCAGCCTGAGGAGGATCATAAAAATCCACTGGCCCGATACCATCAAATATATAGTAGTACTATGGAGGAGAACCAAACAACAAACCATTGGCAGTGAAAACTAAGCGTTGCATTTGACAAACACCCAGAGTTCGTTGTAGTACAGGTTTTACGGCGCTCGCAACTGCATAAGGCATAAGGGTCATATGAGCGACAGAAGATTAGAGGTGTTACAAGAGAGTAACAAACATAAAAAAGAAGAAGGGGTGATAACGATGATAGATGTTTGATAGGAAAGAAGAAGAAAACCACACCAGAGCACCCGCCAACCACCCACAAACACTCAGAAAGCCAGCCAACAATGTGACAAGACAAAGTCTAAGATGGAACCCCCAGGGAAAGGAGGAAGAGCCAAGATTCACCAAGGAACAAGATGAAGAGGCAGATCTCAGACATACAGGGCAAAGCTGGCTGGGGGTGGAGAAGATCACCCAGAACTCAGTTTTCAAATTGAAGAGAGAAGGAGCAAACCACACCAGTACACCCGCTAGCCCTTAGCAAGAATAACGCAAAACATGACAAACCACAACAGCATACCTTGATCATTGTGTCGGCATCCAGCCCCTCCTCTTCCTCCTCCTCACTCTCCACGGGCGCCTCGCCTTCTCCTTCCTCTGTGGCAAAGTCCGCCTCGTCCATCGGAGCTCCCCGGCCCTTCCTCTTCTTGCTGAGCACCCCGGTGGCGTAGGGTGTCATGTGGATCTGTTTGTTGTACTGGCGGGTGAAGGCCGCCTTCGTCTGTCGACATATCAAAGACAATATGAGTCACGGCATGGTGGAATCAGGTGCTTAGTCAAGTATTGGGCATATTATAAAGTTACTGGTATAAACTTAAAACATGTTCATTTGTCTTGCTTTAGAAAAAAAAATATCAGAAAAAGGCCACCAAATTTAAGTGAATTCCAAAGCTTGAGCGTCCTTGAAAACTACAAATTTACATTTTTTGTGTGCATGATTTACGTATTCAGCTTTTCAGTAAAACCTGAATAGAAAATGCCTGTATCTTCAATTTCATTATCTTAATGAGAGCCTGATGTCATCCCCATGACACACATATAGCCTGCTCTAAGTGAGATTCCTTCATATTTCACTTTTCGAAATGGTATACGGCAGAGTCTTACATTCAACGGCCATATGTGTTATAGAGGACTATTTTCCTTGTTCAAGTGACAATTCAGGGCACGTATCAGGACAGCTCCTGAGGGGGGTAAATGGTTACTCTTTCCTAAATGAGAGCATGTTAACATTTAAGCAATTTAAACCAAATTACGTAAGTACATAAACCACTGTAAAGCAAAAACAAATTACACAGACCTGCCTCTCTATGAAAACTAAAAATCAGGATCTCAAGGAGAAAAAAATTGTGATTTGGCGAAATAAATTGTGATCAACGACAAATCACCAACGTGACTGGTAAGCTGACTTAAATAATTTTCCACGGGTGTCAATAAATATACCCATTATTGGCCCTCTATGTGTGTTTGTGTTATCATTATTTTTTCAAATCCTAGTCCAAGTGTCTACTCTCCCTCCCTGAAAGTCTTGAAAGACACTTCAACCGGTATGCATGAACTTAAGTTGACCCCGCAAACGGACGATCCCGGGCACACGCGAAACACACGCCGAAGTCATGTCATTTGATGCGAATGCACGATTGAAACAGTTTTACTCGAGGGTCTTGATGACGAGCCTCGCTAACCAGAACTCAAACAAAGCCAGTTTTGAAAGTAACAGCAGAACTACGAATAATCATTTGTATGTCCCAATTGAAACAGTTACCCGGCCATCATCGGAGAATTCTGAGTGGTAACAAAAGCAAAAGTAGATCTTGATAATGCCCCAAACCGGAATGCCAAATCGATACTGCTTCCATTATAAATAGTTAAAAATAAAACGTGCGAGCAAAGATCCAACACAATTTGGGGCGAGTCAACTACTAAATCCGGCATTGGTATTTAGGAAAATAGTGCTCCTACTACTGGCGGACAAAAAGTTTAAAAGTTTACGGGGTGCTTCCCACGACAGAGAAGGCAGAGTAAGTTTATAGAAAAATCCAGTGAAACAGACGACACAAAAAATCGGTATACTCACGATTCAGGAAAATCAGGATGCTTGAGATTTGAGGCTAAAGATCGGGATGAGTGGCAGGTCTGAATTACATAACTGTGCAAGCCATTGTAGTTTTAGTAGAGGTTTTACGGCTCTCGCAACTGCATAAGGTCATATGAGAGCAGCCATTGTAAAACAAATTAAGTCCATACATAAGCTATGGTAAACCAAGTTTCCCTAAAAGGATCATGAAAGCAAAAACTAAGTCACTGCTTATTTATTCACCCTACCTTTGTGTCCAGCTTTGCCATAGGGTCAAGGCCACCCGGCCATTTGGTGACCTCCAGCACGTTGTCAAAGTCTTCCTTGACAATGTCGTACTCATCCATGACCTTGATGACCTCTGGGACGCCCTCCGACCCGCTGGACATCAACGGACCCGTCATTTTGGTCCTCAATGCCGGGAGGTAGTCCAGGTTGAGACCACGCTTGTCGCACGATATTCTGGGGGTGGGATCGAGAAGAGAACCATAAATTTACAAATCATTGATCCTGGCACATTAGTTTAGTGTTTCACCACATACATACTCACACGTGTATACAAACGCACACACGTATATATATATATATATATATGCACTTGCGTATACACATCAATACACACACACTCTCTCACACATTCTCTCCTCCACCACCATCTGTGCACATAGCCATAATAATACAATAGCATGCTTGCATTCACAACAGGTTTACATTCATATATATATGTACAATATAAATTAACAATAATTGTTAAAAATAGGCTACTATTTTAAAAGTTAAGTTTCATGGCACTTGCAACACACATATAGATCATATGAGTTCTGAAAAATAGAGGTTTTCTTGAGAGTTACATTTAAGAAAAAGAAGAGGAGAGATTAGGACGATAGTGATAGATACTTGATAGGAAAGATGGAGAAAACCACAGCAGACCATTCGCCAACCACCCACAAAATTGTTTCAGGTGAAGAAAGAATATAACGATTTGTGAAAGAAAACATCAGATATGCCTTCTCAATTTGCATCCCTAGCTTTGCAGCCAAGCTCATCTATAAGCTACACATGATATTAGAACCCTGATTCAAAGCAGTAAAAGTTGTACAGAGGAAATAAAAAGATTTTCCGAGTGCTTCTAGCCTCTTCATCATCAGCAACAAGGCAGATCTATGAACCAAAAAACACTCCGCGAGCGACTCACTCCAGCCTCATGTGAGAGGAGAGCTCCTGCAGGATGCGCTCACACTTCCCCGTGCTGGAGTTCTTGCCCAGCCACTGCGGGAACGCCGTCATCTGGGGGAAGCTGCCACGCATTACCTCCCCTGGGATCACACTCGAGTACATGGCCTGAGAAAACAAACATCGCCAGTTAATGTCTGACGTATCCTAGCATTACTAAAATAATTTATGAACAAGAAGAAGAAGAAATTAACCCAAACTTTAAAGAATCTTTTTCACTTTCAATGTAGGTGTTTTTACTCCCCCAATTTGACACAATTTGGCTAAATCAATTAAGAGGAGGGCTTCTGACTCTGCCTGTCAGAGCCAACCTGAGCTGAGAGGGATATAACATTCCAGCAGAAAAACTGAGATGCTTGATAAAAATTTGCTCTCCACTCAGGAATTGAACTCGAGCCTTCTGCGTGAGACAACATAGTGCCTTAATGCTATACCACAGACGTCAGTACAGCATTTTAAAAGTGGGAAGACATGGAATAATGTCAAGAGGCCATCCCAGGACAGGGAATGTGGACAGTGGTTATGGCCTACAACCTGATGCAGGGTGAGAAAGGAACTGACGCTGACCATAATCACGTAGCATACTCAATAAATTCATGCTCAATAGATAATTATGGTAATAGACACAATTACAATTGACTTATCGACTTTGTTCTATTATCCTTGACAAATCCAATCTTGAGAGTTCATAACTTTTCTAAAGCATCAGCAAGTTAGTCCGTAAGGGGCAATACTACAAAACAGAGAATACGAATTTTCCAACACGAAAAAACGTACTTCTGTGCTGAGACCCCAAAAAACACATTAAACATGTTTTTTTTATAAACAGGTTGGCCGCTATGTAACTGATGACACAAGCAACAATTCTGTCGTCAGACAGAGCTCACCTGCACAGGAAGCATTCCCCAGTTTCCGCCTTTTCTGATCAACTTGTCAATGAGATCCCCGTCACAAAGACTGTCGATTGTCCGCGCCAGGCAAGACATATGGCGGGCTTGATTGCCCCTGTAAAAATGAGAATCTGGTTAGGCTGTGCTAAAAAAAACATGAGATACTGAATAAAAAATAATCCAAAGAGAAAGATATATTATATCTGAGGCATCGCAGTGAAATCAGGCGCTCGTCAAAATAATGAAATCGAAGATATCAGAAGCTTTCTGCAGGTTTGGAAATTCTTATCAAATTTCTGTTTCTTGGCTCAACACCTTTCATGTCCATTTAAAAACACATTTTTAAGTAGATTATTATTGTAAAACATTGATTAAAAGCACCAAGAAAGTAAATTTATAGTTTTCAAGGACTCTCACACTATTGTAATCACCAAACTTAGGCTGCCATTTTCTAGCTAATTTTACCTACTGAAACCAGGCAACCACCACCTCCTTCAATCGCAAATAGCTCGCTTTCTATTCAAGATAGATGGATATCTTTCTCATTGAAAGATAACAGAATGAAATAGCTTTATGATAATACTGATAACTCCACACGCCCAAAAATTGACGACCGCCTGATTCCACAGTGTCATAACACGTAAAGACAGTTGACGGAGTTATATGAGTGGCATCGTGGTAAAATCAGGCACTCGTCAAAGGAGGAGCAAACCACACCAGAGAACCCGACAACCACCCTCTCTCCCTTTTTGACACAACATCAGATCATGTAACTAGGACTCATGCATCTGTGCATGTGTGTGTGGGAATGTGTGAGATCATGCGTGGGGTTTTTGGTGTGTGTGTGTGTCTGTGTGCGTGTGTGGTTTTTGGTATGTGTCTGTGTGTGTGTATGGGATGAGGAGGGGGGGGGGGCAAACCAGTCCCGGGATATTGGGTGCAGTTGTCAAGCCTTCACTCACTTTGAGGCCTGAGGTATGACGTTGGGGTAGTTCTCGTGCACAAACAGCGGCCCAAAGCTGTAGTCGTTGAAGAACAGGTCCGACTTGTCGTGGATCGACATCCTGCGAGTCTCGTCATCGCTCACGAAAACCTTCCGGCAAACGTCAAAGGGACCCTGTGGAGTGAAATTACTATTACTGTTATTTGTCTCAAGATAATAGCATGCATTTTGGGTGACGAGAAAAGCGCGCTCTTATTGGAACATGCAATTAAGTGAAGTTTGAAGGAGAGTACAGCAATCTAGAGTCAGAGTAAGTTTTATGTCGAATTTCACTAGTGATGTGAACCACTTAGGACCTTATCTCCTGCGAATGGTGTGTCATTGAACTGAGCTCGACCCGAGGGGTGAAGTTTTCCTACACCGAGCACAGACAACGACCGTCATAATTACAACACAGCTCTCTCACACTGTCTGACCATCAAGCACAGCCGCTCACTGGCTGTCCCCGTTGCGCAATTTTAGATCGCCAGCTCCTTGCCCAAATAAGAACTGTTGGAAAAAAGCCTAACTTGAAATCGTATCTACACAAAACCGCGCCAGCAGTGAACCCAGATCCGTCCTGTCGAGCCTGTAAAGAGGAGGACGACACTATGGACCCCGTATTTCTGAAATGTTGCATGATTTACCGTGCAAAAACATGTCTGTTGGGACATTTCAACGACCCACGTTCAGCATCTTTAAAGGATACCCAAGCAAGCATTGATTCCCTGTGTGCTGTCGGCATCGTTGATCATTTATGACGCCACAGTGCCAGGAGAGAGAGGGGGAGAGAGAGAGAGAGAGAGATTGTGGAATTCTGTCTCTCATCTTGTTCCAAGACATCTTTTAAAAAGTGGCAAAGCTAAAATTTCCAGCAATAAAGGAGGGCATGTGGTGTTTGCGAACACTTTTATCAGTTCCAAGCGAAACGCACGAAAGAGGTCAGCCTGAGAAAGAAGTAGAACCCATCACTACCGCCGGGCAACAATTCACAAAAGATAAAACACGCAAATGGAACAAAATAACAATCCTTGAAAATAATTTTCAAACTGGTCAATCCAAATTTTTCTTTTTGACTAAATGAACATGAACTTACCGCATGAATGACAGAAAGGAGGAAATTGGCACAAAAGGTTCGCCAGATTTTGATCCATCTGCAGGTAAAAAATGTACTGCCGACCAACACGCAATGAATGCTTGGGACTGGGACATAGCGGTATAATGTCCGATTGCAGGAAATGCGCAATTTGGCAGGTTTCTATAACGTTAGATTGTTGCCGAGAGAATTACCGTAAATATCCGTACCTTATACAAGACGATACGAAGGTGAGTACGGAATTTCGGCAGTCCTGCACTGTCGCAGTTTTTTTTACGGAGGGAGTAGCTAATGATGGAGGGACAAGTACGGAACTGGCAGAAAGTACGGATTTCCGTAAAAATACGGAAGAGTGGAAGCACTGGTAAATAAATAACATAACAAAAAAGGCTATACCTAAAGCAAAGGTCACATCAGAAGAGAGCAAGACTCACCAACTTCATGTCTTTCTGAGCTTTCTTCGCATCTTGTTTGACCTGGTCAAACGTCAAGTTCTTGTCCACAGCGCTCCACACTGACAAGTTGTGGATGACCTGTGGGTCAGAATAGGGTCATGGGTTATAGGTCACAGGTCATGGGTCACTGGAGGCAACAATATGACACAATGTATGGGGTGGAGTATCAGACTTTTTGTGTTGCAAGTGCTGTAAAACTCTTGCTAAAACTAAAAGAGTACAGGGCAGAGTTTAGGTAGAGTTTAAGAATACGAGGCAGAGCTTGTGCGAGTAAAGAGAATCACATACAATCACAGAAATTTAGTGCATGGGGGAAAAAAGACAGGTAGATGGATAAAGAGAAACGACAGAGAGAATGAATAGAAACAGGACGAATCAGAGGAGCCCTTCAAATGACCCGCTAGGCATGTTGTAAAGTAAAGTGTAGATGGTAGACACAATTAAAATATGGAAGGTGGACTTGTAGTGTATGGAGTGGAGTTATAGTTTGCAGGGTGAAGTAGTCCAGTATTTATAACACAGAGTCATTGTTTACAATGGGTCAGTACTGTATAAACTTACATTTTCTTCACATGATCAAAAGAGGGAAACTATACATACTATATTCTGAAATATGACTCAATAGATGACTTAAGAAATGAAGACGAGCTATACTTCTGCTCGGTTCATTTCTGACATTTGAAGAGCAAGAAAAAAATAAAAGAGAGGGATGGAAGAGAAAAACAGAGAAACAAAGTGAAAGGGGGGGGGATAGACAGAGGGAGAGACAGGCACAAAGAGATAGAGAGAAAAATGTAGAGGGAGAGAGGGGGAGAGAGAGAGAGAGAGAAAGAGAGAGAGAGAGAGAGAGAGAAAGAGAGAGAGAGAGAGAGAGAAACATTGAGAGCCAGATATAGATCAAGAGAGAATGAAACAGAGACAGACAGACGGACAGAGAAAGATCGAGACAAAGAAACTCTCTCCCCTGAAATACAGGGAAAAGATACAACATTCAACTTTCCTTTACCCAACATAAAAAATTCCCTCTGAGCACTAGTTCCACCAACCTGTCGTATGTCGTGGTTGGAAGCTTGAATAATTTCCTGTAACGCAGGCGGAGGAATCTTTATCCCTTCCTTGAAGGCTATAGACATCATGGCACCTTTGATCTGCTCCACCCGCGGCCGCTGGAACCGAAGGTCTAGGCAGTAATTGGACAGCGTTCGCATCTTCATCGAGTTGCGATCATTGCAAATACAGACGATTGGGATCTTCGAGCCTTTGATGAGCTGCACCAATTCCTAATGGCAAAAAAGGAATTTAAAAAAACAAAAAAAAGAGAGCTGTAAAAGACTTTAAATGTGCGGCACAATAAAAGAGAAAAACTTCATCCTCATCTTCGGAACTTGTTATAATATATCATAGGTGTTTTTACCCACCCCCCCCCCCAAAAAAAAAACAACAACCCAACATAATTTGGACCATTTAGGAGGTGGGCTTCCAACCCGTGTTAAGAGGGACAAAAAAACCCAGCAGAAACACAGATATACTCAATAAAATTCTCCCAGTTCAGGAATCAACCTCGGGTCTCCTATGTGCAACAGCGAAGAACCTAACCGCTACACCAGACACCGGTGTGTTACTGGTTGCCTTGGTAGAAAAAACAGCTGGCTACAAAATTCTTGTTAATCCGTTTAAGGTCTACTTCAGGCTCACTTGACAGAAACTGACAATTGCAATAATAATAATAATAAATAGAATTTGTAAAGCACATCTCCCCACTAAACAGGGAGCTCTATTCGTGTTACATTATATTATTACATCAAAAAACCACAGAACACTCAGAAACATTCTTGGCTTCCTGGGAAGCATACAGTGCAAGCAACTGATTAAATACTCAAACATTTACAAACAGTCAAGATCTTTCGCTGTCTACAGCCAGGTACCCATTCCAATCTGGGTGGAGTGAGGAGAATTTGTGTAAAAAGCCTTTCCCAAAGACACAATGTTGATCCCCTGACAGAGTTCGAACTTTCTCTCTCTCTCCGTCCCCCACACAAACAGAAATGAACATACTGTATACATCACATCTCTTCTCCCCCCCCCAAGCCCTCTTCAAGTGATCCCCTCACCTGCAAGCCTCCTCTGTCCTCATTCCCAGCCATGCCGTCCACCTCGTCCATGATCAGACAGTGGGACTGTCCACTGGGACTGCCGGAGCGGTCAGCACCTGGGGGGAGGAGGGAGGAGGTCACTTTGTGGTTCATGATATATATGTGCTGACAGGGGAGGTAGAAGGGAGGGAAAGAGGGAAGGCAGGGGGAGGGAAAGTGATGGAATAATGGGAGAAGACAGTGTGGGGAGGGGGGGGGGGGGGGGGAAGGGGAGGGGAAAGTAAAGAAATATTGAGGGAAGACAGAAGAGGAAAAGAAGGAAGAAAAGAGAAGGAATATTGGATAGACAGAGAGGAAGAAAAATATGGAAGTAAAAAGAATGAATATTGAAAAGACAAAGAGGAGGAAAAGATTGAAGACAGGGAGTAGCAAAAGAGCGTACAAAGCATGGACGAAAAATGGGAAGAAAGAGGAGACGGAGAAGAGAAAGATTACAGGGAGGACAGAGGAAAGGAACTAAAGACACCTGGAAGAATACAATAATTGAGTTTTGAGTAAAGAGAAGCATATTTATACCAACTTGATACCAATATCATTATCGTTGAGAGCCAGATCTGAAACAGACATCAGCAATCATGGTTCTCCGTTTAACATCCATCCTCCTCCTCGCTCATCCCAATACCATGTTGTACTCACCCATATAATCGACAAGCGTCTGTTATTCAGAGACTCAGCCAAATTACCCCCCCCCCCCATATAACCCAAACTCACCCATATAATCGACAAGGGTCTGGTTATTCAGGGACTCAGCCACCACCTCCTTCAGACTTCTCTTGCTGCGTGTGTCCGACGCGTTCAGTTCCACAAATGAAAACCCCAGCTCCTGGAAAAAAGGGGAAACAGCAAGCATAACGAAGTGGAAAGTGTATGGGTTTAACAGCCTTATCCATATATAATCATCAATGCCTTTTTCACCCTGGATCATCATTTGGTAAAATTTTGCTCAGCTCACAAATGTATAAGGTCATGTGCAATTAGTAAATATCTGTCATTTCTCACTCTGGGTAAGGGTATAGACCATGAACAAACACTGTCAACCTTTTTCTATACTCGGCAGCCTCTTACATTATTCCTTGTCTTCCCATTCTTCATTACATCATCTTTATCAACACTATTACGTTATTTAACAGGAAGGACCTCCGAATTTAACGTCTGTCTCTGACAGGAACAAGTCAAATGGGATGAGAGCCTCGAAATCACCAAATGAACCAAGTTAGAAAACGCCCAGTTTTCTTCCTCTTTTGCCCCCCAACAATTAGAATTTGAATTTCTACAAAATATTTCTTGAGCACAAACAGTCGATAGATATCACAGAATAAGAAACGGCAACTTAAAAAAGTATATTTTAACAGTTGACTAACAAAATGCTGCAAATCTACAAAGAATACCAGTAGACTACAACAAGGAGGTGAACACTTGACACAAGGAGGTGAACACTTGACCCTCACCTTGCAGACCAGTGTGGCTGTGGTAGTTTTGCCGATCCCCGGCGGCCCAGAGAGGAGGGCGGCCCTGCATCCTGTGCCGTCGCCGCGACCGAAGAAGTTGCCTGGCAACAAAGGTCATGAACAGCAAGCCATTAATACAATTTCTAACATAATTGAACTTTCTCTATTAATAGCCACCTGTATAAAACAATCACCTGTATAAACAGCTACTACTCATTTTTTCCTCCGAGGTTGTTTTTTTTCTTCACATTATACTGTCATTGTGTAAAACGTCTACCAGTTTAAGATGGCCACTTTTCTCGCTACAATGCGTGGCCATTTTATAAAATTTCAACTGATTGTGTCACGACACTAAGTAATCAGGTGCTTGGCAATTTTGGGGATACAGTTATCAGTGTCATCTTAAAGCTTGCTCACTTGTCTCACTTTTGATGAAAAGAATCTCTTAACTATTTTTCTCCTCTCTAGAATGAACGTCCTTGAAGGAGTAAACAATGTCTCACACATAGCTTACAAACATTCCATTTATGTGAAGTAACAAGCGCTTGTTTACTTTTTGCATTCATTCATTTCCTCTGATGAAAGCTGCTCTGTAAGATGTCAAAGCCCACCTCACAACAAACCACAAATTCTCACAAAAACTAGACAACGCACCACCCTAAAAGGCCAACAGTCACCCCCCTGCTGACCTGTGGGTTTGAGTCCCTTGACGATGATGTTCTGGTGCCAGTTCTTGAGCCAGGACAAGAGTTTGCGAGCGTTGCTCTTGTCCCCCTGCTGACCAATGATCTGTTTGAGGCTCGACGGCTTGTGTTTGTCCACCCACAGCAGACTCTCTGGCTGACCACCTCCCTCTCCGTCACCTTTCCCCCCCGCTGGGGACTTCTGGGAGGGCGACTGCGACTGGCTCAACAATTTGGCTGACGTGTTGGGAGACGCGGCCACGGTTGTGGGTTTGTGCTCATCCGCGTTCTTGATCTGGGTGAAGAGGGAACGTTTTTCCGGAGATGAGGAGGCCTCCCTCTTCGGTTTTTCTGATTTGAACGACGCCAGTTTCTTTGCAGCAGACACACTTTTGGATGCTTCTTTCTTCAAGGATGCTTCCTGGAAAATGTCACAGAACAAGAAACACAGGTAAGTTTAATTTTCACTGTTAAAAAAAAAGTAGTAACAAAATTAAAAACACTCAAGGTCTGTGATTTAATAGGTACGGTTGAACCTGCTCAAACCTGTATTAGATAATCCCCTGTACAAATGGCCACTTCCTATTTTCCCTCTTACGTTCGACTATATTTCCATCTGTCTGCTAGAATCTTGAATCTCTCTGAGCCTACATTTAGCCCTGACAGGCAGATCTGAAACACCCCACCTCCTAAATTATCTAAATTATGTCGATGGGGACGTAAAGCATTCTCAGTTACAACTGCATACTGTACATCATCACAGATAGGACAAAACTTTGTACTTAAAAATCCAGGCTCAAAAGTTTACCTTCATTTTCTCTATAAGGTAAGAAATAAGACGTTGAAAAAAAGAACCTGCCACAAAACAGCTGCTCTATATCTATGACTGCTAACAAAAAACAGTTAATTAAAAAACCCCATTGATTTGTTTTGTTTTCAAGTGAGATTATTGATGAAAAAATCCACTAAAAAGTAAACCATTTCAAAAGATCAATTCCCAACCTTCTTCAATTGTTCACTGGCTTGTATTTCGTACTTCGACTTCTTCTCTGGCAACGTGCGGATCAGATCAAACAACCCGTCCTCGTCCAGCTGCGTCTTTTTCAGATCTCTCGCCTGAGGGTGGGAGAAAGATTAAAATATTCTACATGTATTTATTGCCCATGAAAAGTAACAATAAAAATCACAAGAGTTTTTAAGATCAAGTGAGAAGTTACGAAGGAAAAGGTAACAGAGCAGGGATGATGGGTATAAAATTTCTAACGCCTATTCTCAAACTTATCCTTCATAAAAATCTTACAAATGGTCAGTGTTCCAACTTTTTACAGAATGCTACAAAGAAAAAGGGTTCAAAATTTCCACCAAAAATTAATCTTTAAACACATGTGAAAAAATTTTAAAAAATGTTCAGTCTACTTTTTTTCCCAAGAGTCAGAGCCGAATATACATCACGACAGACCTGCCTGACACTCCATGACCAAAAATAATTTTCCTCAACATCCTCACCATCAAGAAATAGGAGTTTGGCGGGAAAAAAAAAAGAGTTTCCAGAATCTCATTTGATGAAGATTACAAAACAACCCTACCACGGAAAAGAAACATAGCAAAAACACACAAATAAAAATGTGCATTTTCACGTAATTAACAATAAGTCGACAATGGCTGGACGGAACGAAAAAAAAAAAGATTTTATGTGAATAAAAAATGGGTTTCTTTAACAGGCAAAAAAGAAACCGGAGACCTCCGCTTTTATCTTAGTACTGGGCATGTCTTTTGTGAAGACGGCATCTCCAGAAAAAAAAAGTTAACTTTGCAACCACTAGTGAGACTAACCTTCGACAGCTTGCTCTCCCCTGGCTCACGCCCGACGATCACATAGCTCGTCTTGTTGCTGATGTTCCCCGTGACCTTCCCGCCGTAGCGCTCCACCAGCGACTTGGCGTCGTCGCGCTCGATCGAGTCCAGGATTCCCGTGATAACGAACGTGAGACCCTCCAGGCAGTTCTCCGCACCCTGCACAATGACAACACACAAATCTGCTGAACACTGCATGTTCGTTAGAGTACTGTCCTTGCAGGAAAATCCACACGGAAATATGTGTTTTTAAAAAGACATGAATGATGTTGAACAAAAAACCCCTACTCCAACCCCCCCCAAAAAAAATCAATAAAATTGCCCCAGAGGTGGAAAAATGTTTTTTTTCGATTTCATTATCTTGACGAGTACCTGATTTCACTACGTCACACGCGTAACATAAAATCTACAGCTATCAACGATTTTTGCTGCTTAGGAAATCATTTTGCTCTTTTTTCTCTAATCCCCACTTCCCACATACCTCTGGAATATCTTTGGACCCCAACGAGAGGGGACCTCCTCTGTTCTTGAACGCTCGGAAACCCGCAATGGCCTTGGGTCCAAAACCATCCTGAAAGAGAAGGAGAGTACAATAAATAAATTTTCATCACATAAATGTTCCAAACTGCTGGGGCTTTCAGCTGTAGTTCTGTGGATTCCATCTACAAAAACAACTTTCCTCCTTGATCTTGCTTTACAGAGCAAGTGATAAGAATAAAGGGAGATGCTTTTTTTTCTAGCCACAGCAACAATTGTCTCGTTGAGAACCAAGAGGAATGGAAGAAGCTGGATGCCAAATCTGCAGTCCTGCCAGAAGAGTCAGTAAAACTACAGGTGTAGGCGACAGGTGGAGGTGGAGGTGGAGGTGAAGTTGAAAGGTGAAATGTGGAAATAAAGGTTAAAGGTGAACATTCCAAGCCATGCAACACTCACATCATCATCTGCCTTGGGCGTTTGTTTTCCCGTCGAGGCAGCGCCACCGCCCTCCTTTTTGGCAACGCCGGCCCCCTTCTTAGGGGGAGTGGTGTCTTCTTTTGCCTTGGCCTTGCCAGGGGAGACGACCACGGTGGGAGGCTTGACCCGCGTGACCTCCATGGAATACACTTTTCCCTTCTTCACTGCAGGAGACGAATTCTTCTTCGGAGTCTGTGAGAATTTGATGGATTTGTTTTAGTTTAAAGTGTTTTACTTGCAACAAAAATAGGTCATTATATAGGTGCTGAAGATTAGCGGTGTTGCTAGAAGAGCAACAAACAAAGACAAGAAGAAGAGAAAAAAAGTTGGGCCTCCCACCAGCAACAATAAACCACTCATAAAAGTGCTTTAGTATATATAGTAAGGTATGCCACTACTTACAACCAACATGAACAGACAATTCAAACATATTACAGTTGAACCTGCTCTAATGGCCACCTATCCAAGGCAATCACCTGTACAAATGGCCACTCCCCACTGCCCCCCCTTACATTTCTCCTAAATCATAATGACATTGTAGGGGATCTCGTGGCTTAGAGGTTAAGGTGTTTGCCTCTCATTCAAAGGTCCCGGGTTTGAATCAGGGTAGCGACAGAAAAATTTTCTGCTCTGATATTGTCTACTTTCACCTCCCTTCCTTCTCTCTAGCAATGTTCTGTTGTCTGCTTTCATCTCCACTTTCTACCTCCACCCCCCCATCCCCCAAAACACACAAGAAAGCACTTACCTCTTGCTTGACTGGAGACTTGGACGGCGATTTGACCCCTTGTTTTACGTCATTATCCACAGCTTTGTTCGCAGAACTCTCCTTCAAAGCCTTCATTTTGCCCGACAGTTTACTGGCAATTGATCCTAAAACAAAGTTGAAAACACAAAATGTCAGAACCAGAGATATTCCTACATACCTTTTTTACAAAATACAAACCGTTGCAGTCACAGGAAAGGTGTCCAACTCTGACCCTGATTTATACCATCAAAAAAAAAAAAAGAGCATTTTTAGAGTTTTATACAAACCGGATAAGGCTTCTTCCATTTGCAAATAATAATTTTTTTTTAAAAATCAGGAGGACTCCAATTTCATCCGAGAGCTAGGCAGGTCTGTGAAGGTTAACAACCCCCCCCCCCCTTACCTTGTGGCTTTTTCTCTTCCTCAGCAGCTGGTTCTTCTTCCACACCATTCGGTTTGACCTGCGGAGAGAAAATTCACAAACATCGTTACGGCTTTAGTTTTAATAACAGTTTTACGGCACTTGCAACAGTATTAGGTCATTTAGTTTTAGTTTTAATAAGTGTTTTACGGCACTTGCAACACAATAAGGTCATATAAGTGCCGAAGATTAGATTAGGTGTTACAAGAGAGTAACAAACACACAAAAAAAGGAGGGGAGATAAGAATGATAGGTGTTTGATAAGAAAGAAGGAGCAAACCACACCAGAGCACCCGCCAACCACCCACTATTAGGTCATTTAAGTGCAGAATCTTCAAGATGTTACTAAAGAGTGTCATACAAAGAAATAAAGGAGGACAGATTAGGATGATAGATGTTTGATAAACAAGAAGGAGTTAACCACACCAGAGCACCCGTCAATCATCAGCAAACATCAATAAAGGTTGCTTAACAATTTTAAAGCGATACTTGTGGCATCGTCCTGAAGGTGAAATCAAAGCAGTCGCCAAAATAATGAAATCAAAGGAACCTACGTTTTTCTGCCCGTTGGACAATTTTCATCCGATTTTTTAAATTTTCTTTTTGGGGTTGGGGGGTG